ACCTAAACCGCTCGGGCTCAGTCTTGAAATTCAGCGACTAATGCTTTTTATGTTGCAAGTATCTACTAAGAAAGGCTTTTTGGAAATAAGAAAATAAGGTAAGGGATGAATGAATGGAAGTTCGTCATTTTCAAAGTTGGAAACACGCCGCTTTCAACATATAGTCGTCTTAGTCGTAATTTTATGACGTCATTGTTCACACCACTCTACACCTCCTATATTCCACTGCTGCATAAATCTTCGTTTTGTCGTCAACGGTCGCTCGGCCCGCCATCCGTTTGTCGGGAGTCACCAACCTGACTCTGTATTTTTCCGCACCGAGCGCAGTGGTCTGAACCGCGATTTATTGGAGACCACTTAATGTCGCAGTTTAATATATGGCGAAGTTTAAACTTTTGAAACTGGATTTCATTTTTCACATTCCATAAATTTAGGACTGTTGGTGCTACAGTCGTAATAAGTTATTTAATGTTCACAATTTTATTATTTGCAAGTATATGGACCAATAAATTGACAGAAATAATGGGCTCCGTATTAATACTTAGCCTTACTGTAACTCATTCCCTTCTTGAGTTGTACATATGGTAAACAAATAACCTATCATAACTCCACTGTAAATGAGTCTCTGAGCAATCCAAAGTTTATACATCAAAGAACCCTCCCCACCCCTCGCCATTTTTAGAGAGTCCCTCAAAACAGATACAGATATTAAATACCTGATTTTCTGAACACTAACAATTCAGGCGAAAAACAAACATGTTTCTACACCAACTTTTTTTTTCACTAATTTTCGATTCGTTCTGTTTTGCTAGCAATTGTTAGAAAACATTAGTTTAAATACTAACACTACACTACTACTTCAAATTATTTAGATACACATTCACAAAAATATTAGATTAAGAAAATTATAATACTTTTCCATAGTAAGTGTGGTGGATCCAGATATCGAGGTGGAGGCGCAGTTTAGCTGAAATACAGGTTTCTAGCCTAGTTCAACAACAGATACTAATACCGAACACAAATTGTCTTCAAGTCCAGAATTATTTTAGCAACCAAAGCTATTTGTAAATGTAAATAAATTTTAAGGGAAATAAAATATTCATTCATTCAATCATTTAACTAAAATAAATTTTAACGAAATAAGAGTGACAGGTATGTGACTCTGACCTCCTCGAGCTATTTCTTATATTCCTTAATAAATTATATTTATAAATATGTCGGACATCTGACACACAACGCCACCTAGTTCCAAACTAAGCAGAGCTTGTACTATGAAAGTTAGAATGACTGATAGAATACTTATATATTTTCTTATTTTGTGTAAATACATACGTATTACAGAGGGAAAACACCCGAACTCCGAAACAAATATTAATATTTGGTCCGGCCCGGGAACCGCAACGCAACGCAATATACATATATATACATATGTGTGTATGAGTGTATGTATATGAGAAAACATAAACTATATTAAAGAAAAATGTTGCATAAACTTGAAATGATCAACATTGCGAAAGGAATAAAGTATTCCGAAATCCACAGATTTAAAATAGCATAACTAAGCGTCTGTAATGTCCAATTTATTGTTCGCATTAAAATTTTAATGTTAAAACTCGAAACAAGAAAACTTCAACGAAAAATACTTCTCAAAGGAATGTCATAGTTAATTTTACTTTGTCTTTCCACCGTTCTGATTATAAGAGCTTGTTCATACTGGCACTTTGTTTCACTTTAAGACCTTTCATTTTTAGCGAATAATATATATTCTTAAAATCAAATTAAAACTTACCATATACACTTAAAATACTATCTTCATTAATATTTGTTACGTAAACGCTTTGCGTTGAATAGTTTCGCGGATTTCAGCAATAATACAGGACAACATATTGATGAAATAAGCTGCAACTACAGCATTAAATCTTCTGGTTTTATTATTTACCTACTTCCACTTTTACTGAGAATAATCTGAGAATTTTGTTGGAGAAATAATTTAGGTTGTGATAAAAATAATAAGCGATAAAAGATACGAATTTCTCTAATCTGTGTCCGAATAGTTCAAACAGTGTGAAAAATCCACGTTTGTGAATCAGTTGCTAAATAAAATAAATTAAAATTGTTTATTGGCACATAAGTTACTTACAATAATATTAAAGTTAGGCACATACTGTTGTTGTTGTTGCAGTTACTATAAAACCTTCAGTAAAAAGGAGTAGAGTAGTTGCCGCTGTACGTATCCAAGCTACTTTAAGTTTTTGCTTCCTAACCAAGGATTTTCTTAGGAATTTGAGTAACTAGAAATACTATTATTGATTAAGCTACAAACGATTTGAACAAAAAGACTGATAGCTCATTTGTAGGGAATTGAAGCCGTCTAAAGATGATAAATGAGAGACACTACCAATCAAATATACCACTAACACCTACATAACTTTGCTACTATTCTAAATGCGAAACTTTAGAGCAATGTTTTTTCACCGAAATGGCTCAACAAATTTTAATGATATTTGCCACAAAGATAGATTCATCATCAACAGCCTTTAATAGTCCACTGCTGGACATAAGCCTCTCCTTAGAAAGGAGGTTTTGGCCTACTATACCACGCTGGCCAGACGGATTGGTATAGGGTTTGTGTCAAGTTTTCCTTCTCTCTGCAGTGCTGTTGTCCAGCGTAGTTTTTTCCCTTAGTCGGCTCTTACGACACCCACGGGATGAATAGGGGTGGTGACACTCTGTATTCTTAATCCGTCACCACACGGACATTATAAGTTAGATTATAGTTCTAAAATTTAAAGACGAATTAACTAAGTTGACATAAATGCGAACAAAACACAAGTTTTAATATATAGTTTTCATAATATTTATAATTGAAAACGGTTGCAATTTATATCGCTGTATGCACTCTGCCTTACGTTTTATTTACGAAACCACTTAAAACCTACTCTGCCTCCAAAAGGAACAAAAAGATAAAATATTCTGTTTAAAATAAAGTTGAGGGGTAGCAACAATCAAAGGCTTTTATTGTTGGTACAGTATACTAAAGTTTAAATTTTTACGTTCTATTATATACACGCGGTAAACGAAATATCTGGTCTGGTTAAAATGTGTGTGAATTCCAGTAAGTTTATAAATTATACGTTATAATCGTGTCTGTAATTAATTTGTGTGAAATGTATTTTTGTTTCAAAACCGTTAACATCAATTTAATTAAATCACAGGTACTTCGCACTACAAACCAATGATTTCGTTTGCGGTGTGTAGATACACGGAAGTTCACGTGACAGGTTATACAATCTTTGAATTGCTTGATGTTCTATTGAAAATTCATTTCTCGTATCACAGATAGTAAAAACAGGTGACTTTTTCATAGCATAAAATAGTTATATAGAACTAGATAGAACATTTATGTAAGATTCTTTCCTAATAGCTGCGCTTAATGTAATATTACGTGAAAGTAAATACACAATTAATTATGGCCTATTACGAGCACTCGCCAATCTAAACACTCGACTAATAGTGTTGATCTTTCTTTTGTCACTATACGGAAGAGATCTCGTTTCATTTTTCATACATATTTATTATAATATAGAACGTGACAACGACGGAAAGAAGAACTCGATGTTAAACGGGACTAGCTCAAGGTCCGACTACCGGCGGTCATACAATACAATTATGCCAAGTGAGGGGCAACTTGCAGTAAATGTGGACGCACGATCTCGGTAAAAAATAGGATATATCAGTCACTAGAAAGCACGTCAACCTTTCAAAGTAATCCTTTCCAAGTGGCCGTAGCCGAATACGGTCTGGACTTGACGGTATTTTCAGGCACAGCTATTGTTTTAGTACTTACCTGTTTTAGCGAACAAATCAAATACATTAAGCAGTTGTACATAAATTACTTTCACTTTTAATAAATATTGTATTGATTCCGATAGCCTGAAGAACGATAATCGCCTGATGTAGTGTTAATGATAACGACGCGCCAATGATAAAGGCGGAAACATACTATTGGAACGCGATGCAACGTGTCGACACCTCGCTTGCGCACTGCACTTTGCCAACACGCGACGCCACGCCACAATTATAATTGTAACTACTAAAAACAGCTAAGAGTATTAGATACTTGGTAAATCATTTATGTAACTCAGGAGTCACAAGCATGTTGTCAGTACTTTAGCAAGAAACTTTTTACCTACTTTTAAAATTATTACATGTAATTTATGTAATGAGCCTTCACTACAAAACTTTTGGGTATCACTTATATTAATAAGCTTTTACCCTCGGCTCCGACCGCGTAAGTGTTGGTTATCACGATAAAAAGTAGCATATGTCCTTCCTCAAGAATCTATTTCCATATCAAATTTCATCTAAATCAGGTAAGCGGTTCAAACGTGAAGAGGTAACAGACAGATAGACATACAAGCACACTTTTGCATTTATAATATTAGTATGGATTCTAAGAATTAACAGATAATATTTAATTATATTTTTGACTCAATGCTGGTGTCCTATTATTTTCGCATACAATATAAACTTTTTAACAAAAAAATTTAAACTGCCGAAAAACCTGAAAAGCAAAAAAAATAATCTTTTTTATTTAACTAACTAATAACTAAGTTCTTAAACTAATGTAAGTATACCTAACTAATTTTGAGTAGGCGCCAAACAATCAATGAACAAAGACCACTAAATTACCTTAAATTTAAAGAAAAAACCAAATCAAATTAACAATGCCAGTAATCTACTAATTACTACATGCTTAATTTTTTATTACTTTTAAAATAGGTACCTGCCCTATTTTAGCTATTAACTGTTATATAATCCAACTTTTTTTTTTGTATAATATAAATACTTAAAAAAACAGGATTTATATACAAACATGGGTAGGCCTACAAAAAATGCTGCTCGAATGAGAAAAAAAAAGGTTGGAAATAAATAGAAAGAGAATTTGATTAACATGTTTACAGGAGAGTTTAGATCAGCGCGAGGAAAGACTGTCGAAGATGAAAAGCTACATAAACGATAGGTTATTGCAAAAAGGTGCTAAGCAGCGCGCTCGTGGTTTATACCGGATAAGAGAGCTACTTTCAAATGAAACTGAAGACGAACATTTGCTGCGATTGGATGCTGCTCATAACCGTTCAACACTTAAGGGTATTGCTTTATCTGATCTAGAGCCAAATAAGGTATTACACAAACCTCACTATAAAGGAGCTTTAGCAGAAATGCAGAGACTGAGAAATCTACACACAAGAGACTGACAGGTCTAAAGGCTTTTTATGTAAAACACAACTCAGTATTAAAATCTGTGAGTAAACAATAAATAACCTCTATTTTACCACCCTTAGGGTAGGATTTTTTTTCCAAACTTATATGTACGGACTATATACCTGACTACCTACTATTGGAAGTTTTTAACGCAACAACTACATTTAAGATTGTGCTGCAGATTCTTTTTTTTAATTCATTTAAATTGTTAATGTTTTTCACACAAATAGAAAAACTTATTTAAATAATTTCATCGTAACCGAACTTCCTGAATTGAACTTCTTTTCATTTTGTGTCTTCTAAATGGTATCTGTGTACAAAATAACCATATATTTTGTTTACAATAACTGTCATTTTAAGTGACTTGGCTATGTACAATTTCATACAGGGTATTATTTAATATTTACATTTTCAAAACAAGATGAGTAATTTGAATATGAACGAAGCTAGTGGTACTAGTCATAATGATAAGGAAAATAAAAATACGAGTGAACAAAAAACTGATGATTTTCACCAAAATAAAGAAATAGACGAGAAGTTATCTAAAAGTGAAATTAAAAGGAGTACAAAAATTGAGGAAAATTCAATTAATAAAGTAGATAATATCGGGTCTTCATCAACAATTACTAAAGATACAAAAATAGATTTAACGGATAAAGTCTTTCTGAATGTTAGCAATAAAAAAAAAGAACAGTTTCAAAATGAGTTTTCAATTTTTCAAAAGTGTATGAAGCTTGGTATCAGAGTGCCTCAACAGGACTTTTTACAGAACCAGACTCATAAGAAAATTTTGGTACAATATTGTTAGTATTTTTTTCCATATTCATATCATAAATAAGTGATTATTTTAAACGAATGTAATTTGAACGTTCAAATATTCAATGCTGATGTTAAGCGGTTTTGCTGCATTTTGAACGACAGCTTATACTTGATGGAAAATTAAGTTATATGAAATGTAAAGAATAATTTCATACGTTCATCCTCACGATGGAAGATTGTAGTAATTGGATAGTAGTAGTCGTAGATTGGGTAAACATTTAGTTATATATTCTAAGATAGAATATTTCTCTTGTCATTGGTGGTTTTATGAAATATTCATCAATATCTAAACTCGCTAAGCAATGCGTATGAAAATCGTGAAAAATAAATAATTACCATCAAATAAAATATAAAGTTATAATTTGTATGCCTTAATTAAACAGCGTATTTGTGTCAATTTTTTTTCCATTCATTATAAATGTCCATTTATTTTCAATTAATACAATATGGGTATGCCATTGTAGCTCTTGGCCAAGGCAAAGGTTTTGGCAAAGGCACCGGTGACTATGACACGGAAAGAAACTCTTTCGTTTTATTGGTAATGGTAATAGTACTAGTGATGCTACTCATTACCGCAGGCTGGATAATACTTGTATTTACAGTGTATGTATGATCCATTATTTTTAATAGAAACAAATAGTAGTCTAGTTATAAGCTAGTTATATACTAGCTTATTGGAATATTTACATCCTATATTTTCTCTTTTTTATCTATGTGGGTACTCTTTGGCAATTCTTTTTAATATGTGAAATTTCATCAACAGCCTCTACTAGTCCACTGCTGGACATAGGCCTCTCCTCAGAAAGGAGGTTTTGGCCTACTATACCACACTGGCCAGACGTTGTGGTATAGGGTTCGTTTCAAATTTTCCTTCTCTTTACAGTGTTTTTGTTCTGCGTAGTTTACTCCCTTAGTCGGCTCTTACGACAGCCTCGGATATTTCCATACTTGTGGAATATCGGCTTCGACGATTTTCTTGCGATACCAATACCATCCGGATGTACTCTGAACGCGTATGCTGATGACGGCTTATTACTGGTGGAATCTCATACTAAGGCGGGGCTTGGGAGATTAGCCAATAGATGTTTGAACTTGATATCTCAATGGGGTGAACGTAATCGCTTAACTTTTGCACCCAACAAAACCTTCCAGCTACTTTTAAAAGGTAACCTCAAATCACCGCTAAGCATTAGATTTGACAATGTTACTGTAAAAAATAAAACCTCAGTGTGTTACCTAGGATTAGTTTTAGAAAGAAACTTTTCATTTATCGAACATAATAAAATAGTTAATGAAAACTCTAAAAAGACTTTCTGTGCATTGATAAGGATATCAATTGCGACATGGGGTCTATCATTTAATACATTAAAGATCATATACGGAGCTACTTATTTAGGTTCTACGTGCTATGGTGCACCTGTATGGGCCCATAGGGCGACCGTAGGCGCTGTCCGTCGCAAACTGTTACAAGGCCAACGACTTGCACTGATATTCTTGTGCAAGGCATATAGGACGGTTAGCACTGAGGCTTTGCCGGTGTTGGCGGGTATGCTTCCGGTCGATCTCGAGGTGCAGAGACGTGCAGCCATGTACTATTCAAGACAAAACATGGAATGAGATTTTTTGGGCACGCGGGATCGCGGTAAAATTACAAGATTGCTTCAACAGCAGTCCGATGTCTATAATGACCTCATAGACGAATGGCAACAACGCTGGGATGAATCATCCAAGGGGCGCCATCTTTACCAATTCTTTCCATCTGTTCGCGAACGGTTGGAGGTTTTGGCCTACTATACCACGCTGGCCAGACGGGTTGGTATAGGGTTTGTGTCTACTTTTCCCTCTCTCTCTCTCATGTTCTGCGTAGTTTTTTCTCTTAGTCGGCTCTTACGACACCCACGGGATGAATAGGGGTGGTGACACTCTGTATTCTTAATCCGTCACCACACGGACCCAGTTTGGATTTAGGCGTTGCTAATAGCATTAATAAGGATCCAGTATCAGATCATGTCTCTTTATTTTTTCGGTTGAGTCAATTTACAACGAATATTGAAAAAAGTTTTCCCGATGTTAATTGAATTATCTGTGTGGTGACGAATGAGAATACGGAGTCTCACCACCCCTATTTATCTCATGAGTATCGTAAGAGCCGACTAAGGCAGCAAACTACGCAGGACAACAACACTGCAAAAAAAGGCAAACTTCAATCAAACTCTATACCAACCCGTGTCTATACCATACTTCAAGGCCAAACAAAATTAAAAATGAGAAAAGAGTTCAACTATAAAATGTTCCCGGCTTCATAGTCAAGTTATCTTTGACAAGCCTGAATCCACAGACTCTCACAAATTATACGAGTCAAAACTTGAGAGGTTCACTAATATTATTAAGGAGTTTTAATATCTATCTCTTGAGTTTATCATTAAATCAGCAAAAAGACACCAAAAATTAAAATATATATTCTCTGTCTCTTTTTAACAGAAGGAGAAGAAATAATTTTGGGGGAAATTTGTTTCTGAACTAAATCTCTATTGTGTAACTGCAACTCCAATAATCAATGTCTTGATAGCCCCCCACTCTTAACTAAACTTTATTTATTGTAATTTTATTACTAGGATTAATAAGGGAAATATACTTATTTTCTAACTGAAGGAGTTTTGTTCACTAAAAGAGGTTTTATGTTACAGAGAAAGTTTGTTCGACACATTCGCAGACGCAAGCATCTTTTCTATTATGGCAGTGAGGTGAGTCAGTTTATTTAGAAGCAGTTGAAGAATTTGTGATTACATGGAGGAAAGTTAGAGTTGTAATATTTTCTATTGAATTCTATGACATTGTTTACATACTATGATATATTTGAATTACAACGTAAATATTTACAAAAATCGAAATACAATAGTCACCTATGTCTACATTCAGTCAAAAAAGTATCGGGAATGGATGATTTGTTTATGGTTCCAAATTTAAATTTTTGTTTTTTTTCTTTGTTGTTAGATTGGCATAACTATTTTCCATTTTGGCGCGGAGTGTGAGTTGCATCTGTTATTTAAATTAAATACAATGCTGTTTTTAGTTATATCATACCTAGTGTGTAATGCGAATTTCATAATCGACAAAAACATCGAACAAAGATTTTGTCTTAAATTTTGCACCGCCAATGGAATTTCGTGTTCGGAAAATGGTACAGAAGGCTTACGGTGAATCGACTTTATCAAAAACACGTGCTTATGAGTGGCACAAAGCGTATAAAACTGGTCGAGATGTAATTTGCCTCGGTAGGCCATCAACGTCTGCAACTGAAGTTAACATCGCAAAAGTGAAGGAAATAGTGACTGAAAATCATCATTTAACTTTGAGAGAGATAGCCGCCGAACTTTCTATATTTCACGAGTCGATCCGTATCATTTTAACTAATCATTTGGGTATGAAACATGTTAACCCTCGGCTAGTTCCAAAAGCCCTTTTTTTTTTTTAACGTGTGGAAATCCCCTCGGACCGTCACCCCTCCGGGGTTTGCGGCGGGGTGGTGTGTCGGACTCGGACCGACTAAAACCACACGGTGTGCCACTCTGCGCCTGTAACAGGAGGGATCCGGGAACAGCTGTTGTTAAGACATCCGGACCCCTCCTAGCGCCAGCCCGCTCCTGGTGCGGGCTCCGTCTCAATATATTTTTTCCTCTCTTTAGGCGACGTCCGGCACACGCGGACGCCGCCCCCTCGCGGCTGGCCAAACTAATGCGGGTGGAGGGGAAACCCACCCGTCCACCCGCGGCCACACTCAGGGCGGCATGAGGCTGTGATAGGCGGGCCTCCGCCGCCCGGTTCGCCGGCGGCGGATCGGGTCCGAGTGGAGGTCGTCCTCCCGGGCCCTCTCCGCCGCCTCCTTCCGCGAGATTACTACCTCGCAGAAGGTTGCGACCGCGGTAAAACAACTGTCGCTACCGGCCATGGAGCGTACTACGGCCGGTAGCGAGAGATCCACTCCGATGACTGCAGTGAGGGCCCGGCGCTGCGCCGCCCATGCGGGGCAGACCGACAGCGTGTGCTGGGCCGAGTCCTCACTGCAGTCGCAGTGGTGGCAGGCGAGACTCAGTTCCCTCCTAGCGACCGAGTGCAGGTACTTTCCGAAGCAACCGTGCCCGGAAAGCACCTGCGTTAGCCGGAAGGAAAGGGTCAGGTGCTGCCGCCCTGCCCACTCGGCGATGACCGGCTGGAGAGCCTCCACGGCGGCGAAGCCAGCGCGTGGAGTCTCCAGCCGGAACGACCAACGAGCCATCGTGGCTCGGCGAGCGGCTTCGCGCCACTCGCGCACATCCTCGGGCGGAGGGCGAAATCCGCTCTCCGCCCGGGAGTCAGCCACTCGCCGATAAACTTCGGCGAGCACTTCCGCCTCCAAATCCCACGGGGGAGTTCCGGCCAACGCGCATGCCACCTCCGTCGAAACGGTGCGGTAACCGCGTATGGCTCTGACCGCCATTACCCTCTGAGGGCGCCAGAGGCGTACCCTATTCTGGGCGGTCAGAGCCGCCGCCCACACCGGTGCACCGTACAGTGCCATTGACCGGACAACCCCCGTGTACAGCCGTCTTGTCGCGACGCTGGGTCCACCCATATTGGGCAAAAGTCGCCCTAGGGCAGACGCAGCGCCGACCAGCTTTGGAGCAAGCTGTCGGAAGTGCTCGTCGAAGAGCCACCTCCCGTCGAGGATCAGGCCCAGATATTTCATCTGGGCCCGAACCGGTACGAGGACCGAGTTGACCACGATTGAGGCGCCAGGGGGTGGACCACGACGGGGCCCATGAACTAACAGGGCCTCCGTCTTATCTAGGGCCACCCGTAAGCCCAGCGCCTCAATGCGCCCGACCACCAGGGAGACTCCCCCTGTGGCCAGGCGCGCCGCCTCTTGGAAGTTTGCCCCCCGGGCTGTCACCAGGGTATCGTCTGCGTAACAGATTACACCCAGCCCGGGGGGGAAATCGGCGCGAAGGGCCCAGTCGTACCCTATGTTCCATAAGAGGTTCCAAAAGCCCTGACCTGACCTTTTCTCCAAAAACTCAATCGCATGAGAGTGGCTGAGCACATGCTAAAACGATTCAATTCCGACCCAACATACATGAAACGCATTGTTACCAGTGACGAGACGTGAGTTTACGAGTTTGACATGCAAACTAGTCAACAAACTTCGGAGTGGCGCCATCCAACTGAACCGAAACCGAAAAACCACGCCAAAGTCGATCAAAAGTCAAAGTCATGTTGACTGTTTTCTTTGACTATCGCGGTGTTGTGCACTCGGAATTCTGGCCGGCAGGTCAAACGGTCGTTCAGATATGGTTCCAGTCGACTCAAATTACCACTTCATGGCACCCGTTTTCAATCGGTAGAAGACATGAAATAGAATTCGCGTCGAGAACTGAACTCAATTCCGGAAACAGCGTTAAAAAAATGATTTGATGATTGGATTATTCGTTGTATCGTTTGTGAGTGTTGAAGATGATAAACTAAATTTAGATGACTAACAAACATTTTGTGTATTATTGATCTTTTACCGGTACTTTCTTAACAGAGTAGTATATCTCTCACTACAATTAAAATATTTTTTGCACTTATCAGATTTTATTTTTATTATTTATGATCTATGTATGTATTTTTTTTATAAGTAATAATTGAATTGATTTTTTCAGTGTATGCTTGCTGATTTTAGACTATACAATGACGTGTGTTCCAGCCGCGCGCAAACCACCGTGTGGTATATTTGTATTACTTTTTGCGGTATTTTATTCTCCATTTTGTTAATTATCTCTAAGCAAATGATTAAATAAATCAGAACAACAAATAACTTTTGATTCTTTGTTTTGGCAAATCCAAATTACAATATTTGTATGCTCTGTCCAGCTTCTAGTTTTGAAAGAATTTTTGGCGTCTAACAGGCGTGATATGAGTCGGAAGTGTGTAACAGAAATTCGGCAAAGCGCAAGAAATTTGATTCGACTAATTTGTTGTGACAGATTCGACTAATGTGATGTCTGTGTGGTGACGGATTAAGAATACGGAGTGTCACCACCCCTATTCATCCCGTGGGTGTCGTAAGAGGCTACTAAGGGAGCAAACTACGCAGGACAAGAGCATTGCAAAGAGAAGGAAAACTCGAAAAAAAAAACTCCTTTCTAAGGAGAGGCCTATGTCCAGCAGTGGACAATTAAAGGCTGTTGTTGTTGTTGATGTGACAGATGTCATATTACAAGTGTTGATGTGGATGTCAAAAGTTGAAATTCGACAGGGATATAAGGCCCACCGTCTTGTAAAATCTCGGTCGAGGTTCGATGATATTTAAATAGTTATGCAAACACACTAGTGACACTAACATTTTCCGTAAGTAAATATATTTCGACTGAGGATTCCAACGTTTGAAGAAAGTACCTAAAACTTTTGAAACATATGCATAGTTTTAAAGGTTTACTCCTGTATGTATTTCTGGCCTTCTCCCAACTTTATTTAGGTTTGTTTCGATTTAAAATATGTGTCACCTTGTAACGGTTTAGGTAAATTATATATCTGCACCAGGGACTTCCTTTCTAGGGTATACCCGGTTCCCCGGCTATTAGTACCCGAGACGGCGTGCGGTTTTAGTCGGTTCGAGTCCGACATGCCAATGATAGGTGGTATCCGAGGGGATTTTCGATCGGAAAAAAAAAGGTAAATTATATACAAAATAGAGCTTTGTCCTCAAATAAGAACTTTTTACAGCTTATCTTCATGTGTTTACTGGCAGCTATGGTGACGTGTCGTTACGATACAATTATTGTATTTTATGCGTTCCTCGCCACCTCAGCTATAGTACTCGTTTGTGCAGCACTGGCTTGTACCCCGGTAAGTAGTCAAGATGTATTTATAATAAATATAGATTTTTTTTTCTTCGTTATTCGACAGACTCCGAATAATGTAAACAATACTTTTCAGCACAATATGCTGCATATTTTTTTTCAATAGATCTTCGTTTGTTTCCGTTTGTTTTTCTGCATTAGTGTATACCAATACATACAAAATCTTTTATGTTTGTACGTAAGAAGTAGACCGCTATAGATATTTTTTACATATTCGTAAATATCAGTAATCGTACTTCAATCCCTACTAATATTATAAATGCAAAAGTCTATCTGTTACGCTATCACAGCTAAACCACTGAACCGGTTTTTGTGAAATTTGACATGGAGATACTTTGATTGTTAAGAAATGATATAAGCTACTTTTACCGCCTACTTTACAGAGTGTAGGTATGTGTAATGGCGGAACAAAAGTCAGTTCTTCATAAACGCGATCTTTTAAATCTAGTAACTTTTTTATTTATTTATTTTTAATTTTTTCTTTTTCAGTTCGACTTTACAAGTTGTTGGCTGTATTTTATTGTAATATTAGTGGGGTTTTCAGTTGTTGCCATGACTGTTTCTATCGGTATGATGGTGACAGGCACTTATCTAAAAACTGTGCATCTCGCAATTTTGTGTATAGCTGTTCTTCTGCAGTCCGTGGTATGTATTATTTATATCGCGAAATTATAATATCATTGTCATCATATGTAGTATTAAAAACTACTTGCTGACTTATTAAAAAATAAATGTTACCCACGGTAATGGTACTATCAATATGTGGTTATAAAGGAATTCTTCTGATTGTCAAACTGAATATAAATGTTAGTTGAGTAGTTGCACACGTGTCTAGGTCACGTGTCTCGCGAGACCAACAAATGGAACAAAATGGAAAATGGTGGCCAGGTTGACGTGGTCTACACAGATTTTGAAAAAGCATTCGACTGTGTAGACCACGTCATCCTGTTACGTAAGCTGTACGCGTTAGGCATTCACGGTGACCTGCTTAGGTGGGTTGAATCGTACCTAACTAATCGCTCTGATGTATTGGGTAGGTTTAAGTCTGACTTTGTATCTATCCTATGTTCCCCAGGGATCGCACCTTGGCCCTTTCTTCTATAACGACTATATTTTTGACATAATTTACCACATCAAGCACTCACATTACATACTCTACGCTGATGCCAAAAATATTTACACATCCATCAACTCCTTATCTGACTGCGTCTTGCTTCAAGAGGATCTCGACTCTTTATTCAGGTACTACGCTAAACATAATATCACGGTTAGCATTAAAAAATGTCAAAGTATATCCTTTACCCGTAAAAGAAATCCTATCCTTTACCAATACAGTTTTAACGGCGTTGCAATCGAGAGGGTCAAGGTTGTGCGATACCTGGGTATACTTTTGGACTCGGAGATGTCCATGCGACTGCACATTGATGCTATATGCAGCAGATCATTTCGCAATCTCGGTTTTGTCCTAAGATCTTGCCTACCTATCAAGAGTTTGTTGAGCTTAAGTGTTGTTTATATTGCTTTTGTTCGTACTGGAATACGGTTGTCAGATATGGTCTCCCTGTTATGCGATACACAAAGGCAGTCTGGAGCGCATTCAGAAAAAGTTTATAGATCACCTTAATTTTAAATTTCATCACAGCTTACATGATTACAGAGAAAATTGTCGTATTAACAATCTACTAACTTTCGAGGAAAGGCGTATTCTGATGGATATGGGGTTACTCTATGACATTTTGCGAGGACGGATCGATTGTCCTATGCTTTTAAATAGTATTAAGATTAATGTACCCAAGAACGCACTAGACACACTACACCATTTTGCACTTCATTTCACTCGACTAATTACAGTAGGAATGGTGTAATATCACGTTTACTCGACTCTTATAATAAACACTTTAATAGTGTGGACATATTCATCGGATCTAAGGACAATTTCAAAAAACGAGTTTCGCTTAAATTACTATCATCATAGGGTTTGTAAAATGTCAACATCATTGCACTGAATGGCTGGTTTTATAGGTGTCTAGATGATATAAAGTTTTTAATGTATTTATTCAATTTAATTTTTCCTTCGTATTAATATATTTGTATGTGTTATTTATTTCAAATATTTATTAGTTTTCATATTTTACATCCATACACCTATCTTTTCAAGGTTTGCCAATCAGTTTTAATATTATGTATTGTTATTAGCATATTCATCCACTCTATGTATCTACCGGGGATAACTTTTATTGGCTACTCATGTAATCATAGTTTACTACTTTGTTAAGAATTGCAGCTGTTGTTATCCCTAAGAAAATAAAATAAAATAAACAAAAACCCTACATAATATTATACAATTCATGGTCTTAAATGAGGTTAGTAGCATTATAAAGAAAAGAAGTTACTGCACTATAAATAAATGAAAATTGCTGATAAATTCTTTTACTTAGGTATGTCAGGAAAAAGCCAAATGTTAACTTCGAATTCTAAGAATTTGGGCACACCTTCGGGACGTACCGTGTGTCAAGGAATTCAGGTTTTTTAGCGGATGCGTAAACAATGGTCGTGATGTTCGGGTATTCGGTGCTAAGGTATCAAAGTGTGAGATCGTCAGAGCTGGTAGTGTTCGGTCATGGGTCTAATGGCTAGATCACCCTAGCAGAAGCAGGCCGGGGAGGTGGCGAGACGAGCCGCGAAGCGCGCGCACCCTTTTGGGAGGGGACATGGGAGTTCCCATACAGGAGGGGGTCGTAGATGCCACACATGCCGTAGATGGCCCGAGGTACGTCGAACGTCGGGGTATCAGGGATTACCTTGCTAGGGTACACCTGTTGCCCCGGCAACTGGTACCTGATACGGCGTGCGGTTTTTGGCCGGCTCGAGTCCAACATAACCACCACCACCAACTACCAATAAAAAAAAAGGGTCTAATGGCTAGATTACGTAATATTTATATATAACGTTAGATGAGTCTTTAGTGACTCCTTTATTTGTAGAATAACTATATTATATATTTTTGTTAAATTTGTTGCTGTTAAATTTACGAATATTAGCAATTGATATTAGTAGAGAAAGAGATGAAATGACTCTTGGGCAACTTACAAGTCTCCGCATTAACACTCTATCTCGCAGTAACACTCTGATGATCAGCAGGCTTTTGTCAGCTCTGTTGAAAGTTAAACTATCACTGACCCGTTAGTGCGGTGTCCAGTTGTGGGGTTGTCAACGTTAAGTGAATGTCGTGTGTCTGGGTGCCAAACGGAATGTTGGGGGGATCCTGTAGTATATTGACGGGAAAATCCTAATTCACTTCACTCGTCAGTGATCCGCGACGATAGTATAGCAAGCATTACGACCGGAACGAACGGTCATTTAGCGTCTAATCTCACGGCATCGACCATCTAGCTGTAGAAATTGATTTACTATCTTCCGTGCCAATACAATATATCTAACTGATAAAATTACAAAAAGTTTGATTCCTTCATATCGCGGTTTCTTATTGTTTACATCGAAACGTTGAAAGCTGGTAGAAAGTTTCCAGCCAGGTGTTGAGCCTTACAGTCTAGGTTTATCGAGGCACCATTACACTGTAACTGTGCTGGTATAAATGTAGTTTCCCCTTTTAATTCTGAACCATATGTATAGTGTGGCAATATGTATTGTGTAATAATATGTCAAGACCTTGATGTTCCGGGGCAAAAAGAAACATTGGCATAATACTATGCCAAAACATTGGCATAATACTATGCCAATGTTTCTTTTTGCCCCGAAAAAAAGTAAGTATAAAGTACCTATGCAGGTACTTTATACTTTTAATATCAAACATTAGGAACGTAAATATAAGGAATAATCAAAATACATTAAAAGCAAAACTAAAACTTTTGGTCTTCATTAAATTTTCTACCTTACATCACATTATTAGTCCAGCAAAATACGGTCGTCTTTATCTGTTTTTAACATACTTCTATTTTTACTTTAAGGGTTTAGTAATGAATCTGCAGATGATATTAGGAGGAAAGAGTATAGAAATGGAAGAAGATGACTATCTCATGGCTGCTTTCATACTATATACATCTATCGTGAGAATGTTTCTTAACCTTGTTCAGATACTAGGGCTTTTGGATCAAGATTGAGAGAGTAACAGTGTGCAAATAATAGAAGAACTCATGCATACAGTGATATGTTACCAAATGGTAATAAATTTACACCTTGTAGAGTCCTTTTTGGGACAATGTGTATTTTGTACGACTTACTTCAACAAGAAATATTGTCATAGTTATAGTTTCATCTGTTTTTATATCAATTTGTTTTGTTTTTTACACATATACAATTTTTTTTTATATCAATGTTTTATCTTGTGTGTATATGATATGGTCAAAATAAAGTTCAAAAAGTATTTTGTTGTTGTCAGTTCTCATCGTTGAGTGATATTTGATACACCACAAGGAACAAACAAGTGTTCATGTGTTCAAAATCATGCGTTTTGCCATTTTATAACAAAGGTTTATTATTATGGAGAAAATGGTGTATGAGTGAGTGGAAAAAAAACGAGTGAACATCTAACATTTATCACGTATCATCTGACTTTAGCACCCCGCATGCCCTTTGGTCAAATCAAAATCAAATAGAGTGCACTTTTCTAACTTTCTGTTAAAGACTTTAATTTCTTATTTTTATTATGATATAGGGGAAAACGAGCGAACTGGCCACCTGATGGTAAGTGACCACCGCCGCCTACGGACACGTACAACTCAAGAGATGCAAGTGTGTTCCCACCCTTGAATGGTCTTGGGGGAGTCCAAGATGGGGAAAGAGGGAGTTAGGCTCCGGTTACCTCATCTACTCGGTGAAAAGAAACGAAAAAATTGCTTTACATCGAATGTTTGAAGCAATAACAATTCTTTAGAATTATAAGGGTAAGGACAAAAACTAGAACAGAATAAAAACAATGCGAATATTGTTTGCCTAACTAATTAACCATATGCATATAATAAACGTACATATCCTTGCAAAACTTGGACCACTTGGACACAGGCTCAATACCCATTTGCGATTAGCCGTGATGCCGCAGCTCGCCACAGCATTCACGGTCAGCCGCAACGGCATGCCGCATTCCGGCTAACCGCGTCGGCTTGGTTCAATTGCGCTCCAACGCAATAGTCAGTGCTTCTAGAAAAATTTCATATACATATATACATTCACTTATATTTAAATATTTACATACATATATACACGGTCCTACCTCCAAACGATCCTAAAATTAAATGCCACCCGTGCGGGCGTCATAACCGCTCTCGCCACGGACTACACAGCCATGTTAAAAGTTGCCACAAAGACGCAATTTTTACTCATCTGGTAAATCTGGTTTGGGTGTTCTTTGACTTCTAAACGAAACTTTTCCGTGTCAAAACCCATGACATACGTTAGGCAAATTCACAATACCCACCCCTACGTACAACGTCTAGCGACAGACTGGGACGGCAAGCAGCGCCGAGTGCGTAAGAAGGATGTGGCGCGCTGCAACGTTTAAATGCAGCGGCTTGCCGCAATCTCAAATCAACCGCAATGGTAGACGCCTATCGTCAGTGCATCTTTTTTTTGTTCTTTGTTACGTTCGTTTTCACATAAAAAATCAATTTGCACCAAGTCGCAACGACTACACTACTTAATAAAGGTCTCCCATCAGAAGGCCAATTCTCGTAATAAAACTTCGGTCACAATTCAGTTCCGATCATCTTTCAGTAAAATGTAAAAGTAAAATATGAAAGTATTATTAAGACTAGTAGATTATCGATTCAATTTATGATTAAAATACGATATAATCACATTACAGTCAACGTTAGATGTTTAATACTTTACTACAAAAATACCTTTTATGATAGTTGTGAGATCGAAAGTTGATCGTAACTGAATAGAGACCGAACTTTTATTACGTGAATTGACCTTCAGGTACAACCGTATATCAGGGATCAAAGGGAAAGATTTTCTATTTAATATAAATTTGTTTTTAATCACACAAATTAATCATATTAACTTATTAATGATCGCTATGCAGTTGAATATCGACCGTTTTGAATGTATTGTTTTAGTTCATTGACTATAATTGATAGACCTTGTTTTCTTTCATTTTTTGTTTGTACCATGTATTTGTACCATGACAGGCATATATATTTACATAATTTTTAACTTTATAACACATGTTGTATAAAAAGAAGATGTGAAGACATGTGGTTAGAACACGACATATTGTTGAGACATAATGATAGGAGGACAGAAGGAGGAACTTCAAAATTATACATAGATTGAACGAGATTACAAATGAGTTTTATGTTTTTTTTTTCTCCGAGTCATAAACTAAAACATGTACTAAGTTACGAGTATGAACTGTCATTTTCGATGATGTGTATTCCTCATAATATTAGAAGTCTATGTCTGTTTTGTATACAAATTTTTAGAAGTATATAGATGAGTAACTCTGATGTAAACAAAATTCATGGTCCAAATAATTGTGATAACGAATATAAAAATGACTCGACTGTTACAAAAAATAAAGATTTTATCCAAAATAAAGAAAAAGAGGAGATCTTATCCGTGAGCGGTGCTAAAATTAGTACGATATGTGAGGAAGATTCAGTGATCAAAGTTGACAAAGACAAAGCTCCATCGATAGTTACAAACGATATAGTATTAGATATGAACGACATAATATACCAGAAGCTTAGCGACACAGAATCCAAATGGCTCAACCGCCAGGGGACGCTTATTAAGAACTTTCTGAAGCAGGGTCTAAAACGACCTCAGCACATTCAAAGGTTATTAAACAAAGACGACAAAATGAAAATGTGGGTACAGTTCTGTAAGTTTATTTTCATTTTTATTTATTTTGATAATTAATCATAAAAAAAATTAAACGATAAACGATAAAAATTTAAATTAATTAACGAGATAACAAGCCGAAAATCGATCGAAGTGGCGTGCAATAGGAGAGCCGGGCCTCTCCTATTGCACGCCACTTGGACGCACAGTGGACTTTCTTACAGGCAATCTATGATATTATTTGTCATTTTTACTTCTATTTACTTCATTGCAGCATTCGGTGGTGGAAGAGGAAGTGGTTTTGGTGAAGGCGGAGTTATTGGAGTAGACTATCATTCAAGAAACAGTTTCATTAAGTTAGTCATGCAAATAGTATTGGTGATGTTGTTCACCACTGCTGCCTGGCTGATGTTTGTATTTATGGTGTAAGTTGTATTATTTTATATGAAAAATCGACAAGAACTTATTGTGTATAAGACTAAACTCTCGAACAAACATAACCCATCTGATATTAAGGGTTATCGTTGACGTTGCTTTTGACTAATTATTTTTGTAAAATAAAAAACGCCAAGATACGTTGTGTAGCCAAATTATTCAATGCAATGTTTTGTGACCGTTTTCATCAGATGAGCCTTTTTCCGGTTAATAAAATAATTCGTATATATTCAATTTTTCAGACCAGATTTGTTCAATTTATTCAGGAACCCTCCACTGTTCCTTGTCCTTTTTTCAGTGTAAGTCACAGTTTTAATATTACTGTTAGATTATGTTTTTATATATTCAGAAAGTTGAGAATATTGGAAAATAGGAGACTGCACTTTGAGTCCAGTCAGCACGGGAGCAACGCCTGTCTTTTGTTACCAAAGAAGGGTTCTACAACATCAGTGGTGGGTCCAATCTGCCACCCCAACCTGCTTCTGCTAGGGTGACAGATGGCCTCACCTGTCATTCACTGGCCTGCGCTTATGGAGGACGGAGGTCGTTCTGCAACCTCCGGCGCCTGAGTCGTCTGCGGTACCTGGCCTCAAAACAATACCTAATCTCACGGCCACTTGCTAATGCTAATATTCAATAAGTGATATTAAAAACAATCCTAAATACGTACATTTTTTTCAAAATAGATAATAAAATCCTTTGCTACAATCAATAGCGCCGCGCTCGGTCGTCGTTCCGCGCGGAATTTAGCAATTGTGCATTAGCAGTTGTATTAATACTTTAGCACGACGATTTATTTTATTAAATTTAGTGTGAATGCGAAGCGTTAACGAATGCAACGACAAAATTTCGTGTAAAAATTCATACGTTCATAAAATTTCACGACTACAAGTAATTTGCTAACTGCTGATTAAGAATTCACCAATAAATATGAGTATGAAGACTAATTATTCCATCACTACTTTGACAAAGAGCCAACCAACATAAACAAAATATAATATTTTACATTAAATGGGATATCTATTTCGTTTTAACTAAGGACTTCAACCAGTTTTTTTTCAACAAGCTATTTTGGGTAACTAATAATTACTTTTTCAGTGGTGGTGTGCTAGGAGTATATACCTTAATGCTGTGCGTACACAGTGCGCGAAAACCTCCGTATAATTACGCCGTATTAGTGTTTTCGGTAAACTATTATCTTAATTATTTTTAGGTGTTGATCAATGAATCAATCAATGATACATAATGGTAGTATAAAAATTGTAGAAAATCTGTACTTATATAAAGATGTTCTACAAAAAATATGTCATAAATACACTTTATTGTGATTTATTTCTTTAAACTACAAAAGATATTACTTTATATTACAGAACTGTCACGATTATCTGCCCATTCTTACAAAATATTTTTAACAATATTTCTGTAATACTATACACTGGTATAGTTCATCATGCCGTGATTTCTGACAGTTAATCCACTGTTCTATTTATTTTCATCTACTCCTTAATATTTACTTAAAGAAAATGTGCTCTCTTTCTAAAGAATTTCTGGTGACAAACAATGTTAGTGCTGAACTTCTGGGTTACTGTAGACAATAACTAACTTTCTACGTTACACTTTTTGACGATCATTGTAAAGTTAATTCTCCTAGTGATTTAAGCAAGTGTTTAGCCTGCCAGTCCTTCTGTAGATTGTAGCTAAAAATTCTAGGAATTGCAATTCTAAAATGAGTTTACAAGTGGTTGCCTAAGGTTTAAAAGTAAATCAATTTGCAGGTAATCTTCACGAGCTTGATGGCGTCAATAATCACGTGCCGTTACAGGACAGTCATCTTAATATACGCATTCATATCCACTTCAATAATTGTACTCGTATGTGTCCTACTATCTTATACGTCTGTGAGTACTTTAAATACTGGCATTACTTGGTATTAAAACGATTGTGATCTAAATCATGGATATTAAATGATATTTAAAAAGAGAACCTACTAACATACAGCGCTGCAGCTGGTTGATCAACCCGAATGGCACGATAAACATCAACCATTTGCGACAGACAGACATGGCTGACTCAGCTTCATCATAAACGAGTCTGTCCATTGTTTCTGAAGCCACTTCAAACAGTTAATTTATATAAGTAATTAAATAAAGCTTGGTTTTATAAAGGTTATCTAAGGTCTGAGATTAGACCCTTCAATTTATTTTCCCACTGTTATCACGTGGTCCAACCACTCCAAGGTCTCACCTAATTAGTTTCTAGTATCCCTGACAGCCATAAAATATCGTCATGAGTAGACTGACATTTATAGAACGATTCGTCCTCCCTTTTATTTTCCTGTGAGGAAATTCTCTCGGATACCACCAGCCGCTGGGGTAATTATGTCGAACTCGTACCGACCAAAACCGCACACCGTCTCGGGTACCAGTAGCCGGGGAACCAGATGTACCCTAGAAAGGAAATCCCTGGTACCCCGACGTACCTCGAGCCATAAACGAAGTGTAGATTACCCCTTCTATGTGGGAACCTCCATGTTTCCTTTCTGCGCCCGAAAGGGTGCGCGTGCTCTACAGCGCGTCTCGCCGCCACCCCGGCCTGTTTCTGCTAGAGTGACAGATGGCCTTACCTGTCACCCCCTGGATTACGCTTATGGAGGACAGAGGTTGTTCTGCGACCTCCGGTGCCTGAATCGTCTGCCATACCTAGCCCGAACCGGCCTGGTGGACCAGGAGAGTTCTAAACCTCTCATACCGGCTGACCCAGGTGATCACCGGAAAAGGAAGCTTCGGACATCACCTTTGTTTGTTCCCCAAGGAGCCAACACCTAAGTGCCACTACTGCGATGGCCGGACCGTGGACATAGCGCTCCACACGTTGGCAGAATGCCCGGCGTGGGTGGAGCAGAGGCGTGACCTCGTGGTGGCCATCGAAGTGGGAGTTGCTCGGTAATATAATTGCCGCCATGGTATAGAGCGAGTGTGCGTGGAACTCCGTCGTCTACTTCTACCAGCAAATTATGCTTGCGAAGGAGATGACGGAGCGGGACCGGGAGATTCGTCCTCCTTGGGCGAGCTTAAGAACAAATAAACGCCTGTATCAGAAACTATCTACTGAACTGGAGTGTAGGTCAGATAGCGAATTCGGCGAGCGGCGGCGGCGGAAAACGGCGAGTCTCATGATAAGGCGCAACTGACAAATCAGCAAACGAAGAAATGGCAATTGAAGGCAGCACGGAAGTAAGCACGAAAGAAATAAAGCCTGCCTGAAAGAATAACAAATAGACGAGAAACTACCAGCGCTATCTTTATCTATAGCGCACCACCTTAGCGAATGATGTACTTAAAAGGAAATAATTTCAGTGACATGGACATACAAATACAAAATCCTAGTTCCAAAAGAATATTGAAAATAGATTTGACAATTCTTACTTCCATACTTAATAATTGAATCGGTCATTTCAAAAACCTTATAAGTCACACAATCCTAGCTTTTCAGAAATCAATAAAAACTATTTTATGCAAAACGAGTTTAAAATAACTTTTTAAGCTTAATTTAGTATTGCATTGGCAAAAAATGAAATATCAAATAACCTTCACAGTTTATTAATACTAATAATGAAAAACCTCAAAAACTGTTCTTGACTTATGTTGTTCTAGCAAGAAATAGGGCTGGTGGGATATAATTTTAGCAGAACAATCGTATTAATCATATTTTTTAATGCTTATTTTTGACAATTACATTTAAAAATTAACTTAATAAGTTTAATTAGTAACTTTTATTAATTTGTGTTTTTTGTGCTTTTTTTAAATTTATTTATGTATTTATGTGTCCGTGTGGTGACGGATTAAGAATACGGAGTGTCATCACCCCTATTCATCCCGTGGGTGTCCTAAGAGGCGACTAAGTAAGCAAACTACGCAGGACAACAGCACTGAAAAGAGAAGGAAAACTTTAAAAAAAAACCTATATCAACCCGTCTGGCCAGCGTGGTATAGTAGGCCAAAACCTCCTTTCTAAGGAGAGGCCTATGTCCAGCAGTGGACTATTAAAGGCTGTTGATGATGATGTTGATATATTTATACATGGAATGTTGTTTATACAATGCAATCTCCTACGCGGTATTATTTGAAGAGGAGGTAATGTATTGACATACGTGGCTTACATCCTGAATGAGCATCTACCTTTAAGAAATGATTTTCAGCAAAAAAAAAACTTGTTGGAAAAATATCACTTAAGAGGTTTCTGAAATGACCGATTCAATTACGTTTCTCTTTCAGTTCGACTTCACCAGCTTTTGGCTATATTTTGTTGTTTTATCTGTGGGGTTTTCAGTCATTGTCATGAGTATTGTCATCAGTATGGTACTAGCGGATGTTTATCTGAAAGCTGTGCACATTTTACTGTTGTGTATAACTGTTGGTATACAGTCTATGGTACGTACGCCATTTAAAATTATTATTTATGAAATTATTTTATTAAAAAGGGAGGAGGCTATTGTATTATGGAAATCAAAATAAAATGTTTAATTGAACAACACATCATTTTCTAGTATTGGAAATCATTTTAGTTCGGAAAATTTTATATTTCCTACATAAAATATGTAGTGAAATTAAATACAAAATATGTAGTTTTTGCAATCGTGTTACTTTTTTTAGTGTCTGAGATGATTAGATTTCTTGTAAAGGCTGACTCGCAAAACTTACAATTTATTACAAAATGCTTTCATACTTTATGATCGTTACTCACAGCCTATAAACCGTCGAGTTATCTTGAAAAAAAGTCTATTTTTTTGGCCAGAACTTTGTATCTGTGGTAAACAAACGCTTTATCAATTTCAATTATATATATATATATACGAGGGGTGATCAATAAGTAATGATAATCGAGTATTTCTAGAACGCACAAAAACCCAAATTATTTTTTTTCTGCTTGCTTATATATCCACTACTTCAGCTTCAAAAAAATGTATAAATAGGACACCATTACCGGGAGATACATTCATTTGAATACGAACTGTCGAAGAGAAAACATCAAAATGGAGAAAAATGAAATAAGAGCTGTCATCAAGTACCTCTGCCTGAAAAAAATGTCTACCAAAGACATACACAGCGACTTAGAGGAAACATTGGGGGAGTCTGCTCCTCCATATTCCACAGTCGCACGCTGGGCAAAGGAATTTAAGCTGGGCAGAACCTCCACTGAAGATGAACATCGCGAGGGACGCCCTTCCACGTCCCTTACTGGAGAAAACGTCAAAAAAGTGGAAGATATCGTGTTGGCCGATCGAAGGGTGACCGTAAGGCATGTAGCTGAGGTCACAGGGATCTCCTATGGCAGCGTTCAAATAATCATTGTCAACAAAATGCATATGAAAAAGGTCTCTGCGCGTTGGGTACCGAGAATGTTAACCGACGAGCAAAAAAAGAAACGAGTCGACATTTCGAGGGTGAATCGTCAAAAGTTCCAGGCCGATAAAGAATTTTTTTTGTCGCGTTTTGTGACCATGAACGAGACCTGGATCCACCACTTTGATCCCGAAACCAAACAACAATCAATGACTTGGAAACGAGCTTCCTCACCAACGCCGAAGAAATTCAAAGTGTCAAGTTCAGCGGGAAAGGTTATGGCGTCTGTTTTCTGGGATGCAGAAGGAATTATTATGGTGGAATATTTGGAAAAGGGGGCCACTATAACAGGCTCTTACTACGCAGGCCAAATAAGAAGATTGCGAGAAGTTATTAAGTCAAAAAGACGCGGTAAACTGCGCGCTGGAGTGCTGTTTCACCAAGACAACGCCCCGGCTCACAAAGCCGCAGTTGCGATGGTTGCCATTGAAGAAACGGGGTTCGAACTGCTCGAACACCCTCCCTATTCGCCAGATCTAGTTCCCAGTGACTTCTACCTCTTTCCTCGGCTCAAAGAACACCTCCGGGGCAACAAATTTGAGGACAATAGTGAAGTGATGGCCGCAGTAGAGGCATTTTGGGAGGGTCAAGACAAAGAATTTTTTTCTAAGGGAATCATGGGCTTAGAAAAAAGATACACTAAATGTATTAACTTGCAAGGAGACTATGTTGAAAAATAAAATACTTTTTTTAATCTAATAGTTCTGTTTCATATTGATTATCATTACTTATTGATCACCCCTCGTATATATATATATACATATGTAACTCTCTCCCTCCCTCCCTCTCTCTCTCTCTCTTTTTCTCTCTCTATAAATATACGACATACTATGACTATAAATTATAACTAAACCTTTTAACACTTCTTTATATTCATCATATATCTGTTTTTAAGGGATTAGTAATGGAACTTCAAATGATACTAGGAAACAAAAGTATAGAAATAGATGAGACTGACTACATACTGGCTGCTTTTATGATATACACATCTGTTATGAAAATGTTCATGAACATAGCCCAGATATTAGGTATGACAGATGATGATGGATAAAGTGTTCGGACGATATCAACTAAGGAAGTACCAATAATGCATTTATCAGTAATGTTATAGACTCGGTAAGTTCAGTAAGTATGTGATATCATTTCAGTTTCTTTTTATGTGATAGGGGCAAACGAGCATCAGGGATTGCCTTTCTAGGGTACACCTGGTTCTCCGGCAACTGGTACCCGAGACGGCGTGCGGTTTTTGGTCGACTCGAGTCCGACATAACCATCCCACTGGTGGATGGTATCCGAGTGGATTTCCGCACAGAAAAAAAAATAGCAAACGAGCAGGTACGGCGGTACTTAAGTTGCAAGTGTTCATGGGCGGCGGCCCATGAACACTTGCAACTTAACAAATACAAGTGCTTGCATCCTTTGTGTGCCCACTCCCAAAAGTTGTGTATCTGGTATCCGGTTACCGGTCACTGACATGGTGAAAAACAAAGAAAGAATTACTTGACATTGATTTCCTGTAAGACTATGGTCTTTGGTCGGGCCGGCCCATATACCACATTGCTCTCCCACGGTACTAATATAAGCGATTCTCCGCATTTGTACTAATTTGTACGACTTATTTTCTTGGCAAATTCTATCGTCGTACATAGAGTAACGACTTTTGAAAAAAGACGAGTCAAAATAATGTGCAGGTATTTGTAAATTGTACCAATTTTTATACAATAGTAATTAGCCAATAATTTACATAATAACCGAATAATGAAATAGTATACTATTTTGTAAAAGGAAAAAAAATACCTGGTACTCGTACATACTTTAGTGTATGAAAAACTTTTTGTTTTTAGGAAGCTTTGGTTTACATGAAACTGTATCACAGTTATTATGTTCGGTCTTTTTGGATTTGCAACTAGAGGTATTAGACGTATGTATTTAATTTTTATTTTCAGGAGAATTTTCTAGAAAAGTCCAGACAAGCGAGATGAAGAGCCATTTCTTTACGTTCATTCAATAGTTAAAAAGCCAAAGCAGGCCATTGAGACAGTACAAGAAATGAAAGAAACGGAGGATGTTGTAAGAAACTATGGAATCGAATAAAGAGAAACTGGTCCATTTATGCTGTTTGTACTGATTTTGTTACTAAGATTTAATAAAACAAATCTATTAATAAACTTTAGTTTCTGTTTATTAACATTGTAGTATAGACAGTATGCAGGCAAGTATCACAGTACCATTTCATACGTGGTGTTAAACATTTTTCGGATCGAGCCGCTTACTAATTATGTATGTTTATAAAAGTCATTAACAGTGCTTGAAAAATGACAACTGAAAAACAAAATCTATGATACCATAACGGTTCAATTGCGCAGACGGGTATTACTTTGGGCATACTGAAAGTTTCTGGATTCTGATAAATAAGACTAGATATGAGCCTTACGATACATTTATTGTTTTTTCTAAGTATATTCCCTCACAATTAATGCATTTTGCATTCGCTGAAACCACTGTACAAAGCAGTTGGACCAGTCTTCCTTAGGGACCTCTTCAATAGCTTCATGGAACGCATTCACCGCCGATTCAGGACTCATATAACGTGTGCCTCTTTGTATTTAATTTTTTGAAACAAAAAGAAGTCGTAGGGTGCGAGGTCCAGGCTGTAAGGCGGATGTGTTATCAGTTCCACATTTGAAGCCTTCAAATAAACTTGTTACCTTAGCAGAATGAAAGGATTCGTTAAAGTTAGACGCTTTTCGCGAACTAAGACTCTGGGCAAGCAAGTGTTTACGTACCTACCAATCTGCAGTCACTGTCCTTTGATCTTCAAGTGATACTGTAGTATAATAGCGCAAAAAAAAAGAAGCAACCATGTTTTTACCAATGCTTCTACTTTTCTTAACTTTAGTCGATAAATCTTCAAAAGGAAAGACCTACCCTACCGACTGGCCTTTTCTTTTGGGTTCAAAGCAGTGCATCTAGGTTTCGTTACCTGTTACGATATTACAGACAGCCAATGACTGTTTTCCGTTAAACTTTTTTATATTTTTACGGCACCACTGGACACGTAGTCGTCTCTGATCCTCCGTTAAGTCATGCGGTATCCATCGAGTGTAAAGCTTCAGGTGCACAGGTAAATGTTCTGCACTTGGCTCATTCCAATACCTAACAAAGCACGAATTTGCTGGCAAGTAATTTTTTTGTCAGTTGCAGTAAGTTGTCGTACGGTGTCAATATTAGAATATGTAACTGCAGTCGCCGTCTGACCTTCACGAACCTCGTAATGGAGATGATCACGTCTATGTTTAAATTCTCCAAACTACAAATACACAGAGCTACGACATAGTACTCACCAAATGCCAATTGAAGCCTCTGGCAACTCTCTTATTGACTTAAGCGACTACGAAAATCATAAAAAATCATTGAACGAAAATGAAAATGTTCACGAGTTAAATTCATTTTGATAGGGACACACAATTTTCGATAATACGTCACAATGAAAAAACAAATGACAGTCACGCAAATTAAAAAGTAAAATATTCCCGAAGAGTTCCATTTTCGAAATTCCTTAATTGTTTTTTCATTCCATTATTGTAAGTGGCCAAATCTAGAGACTCAGTATGTCCCACGTATAACGGACACGAACCAAAGCATTTTTGCTTTTGTAATATGTATCAATAAATGTACTTAGAGTACATTTTAAAAACTTGATTCCTAAGAATTTGCTAAATGAGTGTGATTTTTGCATCTACAATAAAGTGGTAAATACCAATCTCTGTCCAATCAACCTTCTCTTTCTCATTTCTTTATCAGTTTCAAGTCACTCACCTTTATGTTTTTTTTATAAATCTCTTAGGACAAAAACAAGGCATTTTGAGGGAAGAATAAATAAAGCTGTAAAAATAACCATAGGAAATAAGCCTCCTAAAAAGTTAAGCAATAAGAAGTGCTTAAAATGAAAGAAAAACGTGTTATTTAACTTACATCCGTAGTTAATAAATCATATTTCAATAAATGTACAGCAAAGAAGTAAATAATTTAAAAAAGTGTTTCGAAAATTATAGTATATATATCGAAACAATATTTATATTTTATGGATTAAGGCAGTGAAATGCAGTTCTGTACAAAACTGCAATTAAATACTCAATACAATTAATGCAGTAAGGATAAGCTTGTACTCTATTTTTGTGGTTATAAATTTTATGAAAATTTTATGCAAAGAGTATACATATACTCCGTTATGTTGCCCCAATACTAAAGACTCTTCAACGACTAAAATAAATTGTATTGACATACAAACTGCCATTTTATAGATTGTATTTTTCTACAACCATTTTAATACTAGATGAGAAATTCTTCTTTAAACAATATCAATGATATAAAACGCCGTGAAAACGAACCTGAAAATGAGAGTGACAAAAATAATGAGGATAATATTGAAGACAAAAAAACGGAGGAAACGATATCTGAAAACAATATTGAAGTTATTATGAAACAAAGCGATGATTCTCGGATCAAAGCTAATAGTGTCGATTCTCCATCAATAATTTTGAAGGATATGGTAATAGATATGAAAGACAAAGTAATTTCGAAGAATAACAGTAAAAGGTCAAAATGGTTCAAGAAATTTTTGAGACGGACCTTAAAAGAACCGAAAAATACTAGGAAATCAAAGAATCTAAATCAGCGGAGGAAAACTAAGATGTGCGTACTGTTCTGTTAGTATTTCTTAATTTTCGCTGAAAAATTGATATATTTCTTTAAAGTAACTCAAAAAAACTAAATAAGCCAGTGTGCTGATAACTTACCTACTACAAAATGTATGAGAAACCAATCTGAACGATCAGAATCCGGCACAGAATGAGAGCCTATCTTTCTGATTTAGTAGGATATTTACGTAAGACATCACAATATCAAAATTTCAAATGTTTGCCTTAAAAATACCAGACGATATTCCGCCGTCCGGTGGTTCAAGACAAACATTGGACTGATTTATATGTTTGATTGATTGGAACTGAAGTCAATTTTGATAACTTAATTGATGGTTGAGTATTTCTGGATGGGAAGAATAGGTTTGCATTGACTTGCGTAACAGCAAAGATAGCGGAGATAATAATATCTTCACACATCTCACACACGGCCGTCTAATCCCAAACTAGGCAGAGCCTGTGCTATGATAACCAGACTGTTAATGAACATACTAAAATATTTCTAAATACATACACATTACACCCAGACACAGAACAAATGCTCGTGCTCTTCACCCATGACGGCAATCGAACCCACGACCTCCGGCTTAGCAGTCAGGGTCTTAGTGACCCTGACTGCTAAGCCGGAGGTCGTGGGTCGTGGGTCTAGGCCAACAGGGCCTTAATATGTTATGATTTATTTCCCCGTCTATATTTTAATTTATATTTTCACATTTTATAGCTTTTGGCCGTTGTGGGTATGATGATGACGACGACGATGATGATTATTATTATGACGATGAAATATTGGATGACCCAGACCCAAGAGGTACCTACATTATAACAGTGCTGACAATAGTAGGGTCGATGTTGTTCGTCACTGCTGTTTTTCTAATAATTGTATATAACGTGTAAGTTTTAGTCCTTATTATACCATAACTTCAATGTGTTTGTGCGTACGTGCGTGTGTGCACGCGCTTGTGTGTGTTTGTGTATGTGTGTGGTGGTGTAAAACATACAATAAAATAAAAAGATTGAAGTAAAAACTAACAAAAATCCTAGAGAGTATGATGTTCAGAAGTATTTTATTAAGTTGCTTAAATACTATTCTATTTTATCATCATCATCGTCCATTGCTGGACATAGGCCTCTCCCATTGCACGCCACTTAGATCGATTTTGAGCTTCTCGCTTCTCCATCTCTTTAATTTAATTAATTCGTTCAATAATAATATCGTTTTACTTTTCAGACCAAGGTTCTTCATAGTATTTCACAGGCCTTCTTTATTTCTTTACATTACCGCGCTGTAAGTTACAATCTTTATTCAATTAATTAATCTCAACTTTATTTAGCTACAGCTTGTACTTTAAGAGGTGCCACAAAAGAGACATAAGTTATTATAAAAATGACGCAACAGATTATTACCAATTAAAAAGTGAATTATAATTGGTGAATTTATTGTAGGACACATTTAATTTGATAAATTGTTCGCCACCAAATGAACACACTGTTAAATACACCGCAGCACTTTAGATATTCCTGTTTTGATGTTGTTTGACGGATTAAGAACACGGAATGTCACCACCCCTATTCATCCCGTGGGTGTCGAAAGAGCCGACTCAGGGAACAAACTGCACAGGACAATAGCACTGTATACCAACCCGTCTGGCCAGCGTGGTATAGTAGGCCAAAATCTCCTTTCTAAGGATAGGGCTATGTCCAGCAGTGGACTATTATAGGCTGTTGATGATGATGATGATGATGATGTTCAAAGATCATTATTCTATAATAATAATATAGAAGAGAGTCAAACACGACAGAACGTTATCTATTTAGTTTTAAACAATTTAAAACTGAATTTTGAATTACTATCAGTAGTCTACCCATCAGATTTTTGAGAAAGTTGAAATCAGATATTGTTTACTTTATAAGCATTCATGAAATGAACACGAAGAACACCCAGACTCAGAACAATATGTTGGCCCATGTGGAGATCGAACTCACAATACTCAGAGCAGTAGGTAGCGACCTCTACGCTATCCGTGTAGTAATTTAAATTATTTCTTTTTATTCTTTCAGTGGCGGCCTGTTCTTGGTGTATTTCTCTATGCTGTGCTTAAATTGCGGGTACATAACACCCTACAGTTACATTTTATTATGTTTCACGGTAAATTTAATTTTTACTATTAACTAGCTGTTAAAGACATATACAACCCACCACTCCCAAACGTTAAAAAATATTGATACAAAACTTTTTTAAATGATTAAAAAATACAATTGTGTATTTTTGTTTAGTAAATCAACTGGAAAATTAATCTGAAATAATGGTAACATTGTACTATTATTAAGATACCTATTGAAGTAGCAAAATAGTAATCTCGTACAAAAATTAAAGATATCTCCCTCAAAAATTATGATTTTCTGATACAACATAGGTTTATAGCTCATTGTGTAATATTGTCGAAGATCACTTCACTTTCTAATCTAATGCATTCGGACCAACAATCGTAAAGTCTACCAAAAAGCAAAATTACTATATAATGTCGAAGCATTTTTAAGTATTTTGTCCCAGATAGCTGCGTCATATTCATATAAAACAATAGGTGTTTTATGAAGTTAGATAACATATAATTCAAATAATTAGTTCTTAAGGCTTTTAAACTTAATTTTTATTATTTTTTTATTATTTATAAGGCGTTTATGTGATTGAAATAATCAGTTATGACTCTTGTGGGACTCAAGTATTAAGCATTAAAAAAAATGTCGTGAAGGATCTATAGACCCCCGGTCGGAATGAAGTCCCTTTCGCTTTATGTAAAACTCTAGCGAATGCCACCTAAAGTGTCTCCATTCAGGAAACCTACACCTACCTACTTAAAGATCTCTTTTCGCGTTAACAAAAGTGCGCTATTAACTTTTTTTGATAAAAGCACGACTACAAACTGTAGGAGTGAAGTTTACTTTTTCTGACAATAGCCTCTGAACTTCCGCGACCGTACCTTATTAATATACATAAAAATGTAAAATTGATTTGTGTACTCTACAAATACTCAAAAAGTTCTGCACCAATTGAGGTTAAATTTTGGCACGACCCACTTTAAAGATTATTTTTAGCTATTTTTGGCATCAGTTTTATTCCTCATTTCTCCTCAATGCAGCCACGATGTGCTGTGTGTGTGGCAGGGTAAAGATTAAATAAAATACTAGCTGTGTAAAAAATACTACGTAGGAAGAAACTTCATTAAAATAATATGTTATAGGTTATGTTTGCAAGTCTCGTGGCAGCTATATTGTTATGCAGTTATGAAGCTGTAGTTGTCATACATGGGTTCCTTGCCGCAACAGCAGTCGTGTTGACGTGTATAGGGTTGGCTTGCACTTCAGTAAGTTTCCAGAATTTACATAAACAATACACAATGGTGAATATTCAACACGAAATTTACATCTAATACTTGATGAAATTTTGGGAAAAATATTAATTTCCTTTTGTTTCTAACACTTTCTGACAAACACTTTCCCGCCCTATCAAGAAAAAAAGTGTCCTAATTACCATTTATTATTATCAATATTATTTATTTATTATTATTATCATATATTAACATCGATTAAATATAGTTGTTTTTTTTTAATTATTAACGCTGGCTTACTTAATATCAAAATGTAAAGGAGATTTGTTAAGAACAACATAAAAAAATGGTCGGTTTTCATGTTTTTGACAAATATTGAGACAGGGCTGAAGTGAGCTATACTCAATACATGAAACTGAATTACCTTCTGTTCTAAAAAATTTTAAAAATATAATAAAAAATATCATGCTACCCTATTATTATTAAATAAATTAGAATCAGAAGTGATTGGGAGACGCCAGCTGCCAGCAGCATACTTCTACTAGCTGGAGTGATGTAGATGATGATTAAATTAAAATATAAAAAAATCACTTTACATTTATACAGGGGGCCCAAAGACTCATGCAAGTACAAAACTTTAATTTGCGTAGAAAAGAAACTAATTTTATTTATTTATTTTTAATAACTGCGTAACAAAAAAAGGGAACAAGTGCGAGTCTGACTCACGTGCCCACCTACAAACCTGAATGTACTCGTAGACAGTTCATCTGTGTCGGTAGTCGATTCTCGTAAGATTTTGGCCTTCTTAGGATTTCGTTCCTCAAAAGAAAAAACGGAACCCTCATAGGATTATTTTGCATGCATATTTTGACACTCTCAATAAAAATTTATAGGTTACTTATCGTTGACCCAGAACTATAAAATTCAGCAAATAACATCGTTTTATACAACAAATCTGAAAACTACACATTTGTAATAAAATCATAAAAATATAGTTTTTATTTATAGTACGTAATCAATTATCGAGGTACAATTTCACGTAGAAAACAATAACGCCAAGCCGCTTACTAATACGCTGAGTGTTGTGGGTTCGATCCCCACATGGGACGACACTTTGTGTGATCCACAAATTGTTGTTCTGAGTCTGGGTGTTTTTTTGTGTCCGTTTCATGTATGTTTGTAAAGTCCCCTATGACACAGGATATATTCCTAATGCGGGAGTTGGAACCCTCGGTGGACGAGTCCAACTCGCACTCGTCCGGATATTTATTTTCCTTAAAGGACAGAAAGGTTATGCAACATTTCTCTATTTCAGTTCGATTTTACGAGTTTTTGGTTGTATCTGATCGTCATATCATGTGGATTTACAGTCGTTGCTTTGAGTGTAGTCCTAAGTACGCTTATTACAGGGGTCTATATAATATTTCTGCACTTGGCTATATTGCTTGCAACTGTTTTCCTACATTCACTGGTAAGTATTGCTTAGCTTACCGTCGAAGAACAAATATGCTTCTCTAAGTGATACAGTGCGTGATTTTAAATTCAGTGATATTAAGAATATTTAAACCCTAATCATGGTTGTGGTAATATGGGTCAAGATTTATAGTGAAATTTGTACTAATTCACTCAATTTTAAGATTATTTCACAACTAAAATGCGCCACATATTTATTCTGGTTACTTTTTTGTGAAGATTACTTGTCACTTCTGTGGAAAAATAGCTCTAACGTTCCCCATCTTCTTTGACTCTCCGTGATGAACTGATATACTGATCGGTTATGAAACTAGTCTTAGGGTATCCTGATAAAATTCGTAATTGGGTAATTCTCACGAAATTCCGAAATTCTTGTCCTTGGAGTTTATATAAAAATTTAACAAAGAAATTGATGTTACTAATATTTCTTTACAATCCACATAACTATATCTAAAAGTTTCACATAAGATTTTAGAGCCGTATAAATAAATAAATAAATATACATAACCATAATGTTCCTAACATCATTCCCTCACTGTGTCCCAAGTACCAATTTTATTTACTTTTATTTACCAAAAAAGTACAAAAATCATTCGAATCATATTTAAGTAAGTTGGATTATTTAAAAATATTATAAATTTATGGGAAAACCCGAGATTAGCGTTATAAAGTAAAAAACGCGTTAAAAATTTGAATATTAAATGTGTCTCACAAAAATAAATCATTCCCTCACACTATAACTGGCAGTTGAATTACGAACGGATTTTAAATAAAATACGAACGCTACCATTAGTTTTTGAAAGTTGGCACTAATGTCAATTTATCAAAATGGTGAATTTTCTGTGATTGTGTTCAGGTGTGCGCTGCAAAAAGATTTTATTAATTATATGGTTAAATTAAATTTTTGATCGTCATTTCATCACATTCTAAAAAAACAAAAGGTAAGTACTTTAACTGATTATAAGTTGCACAGATAAGATGGCTTTTGGGAGTAATTTCCTTAAGCAGAAAAATCGTTTTAAACGTAAGGTTATGTCACGAGTCCTTTACGGTTATCCTTTATTTCGTCATTCCCTCACCATCATTCCCTCATAAAAAATTATGGTGAGGGAATGATGATATGTGAGGGAATGATTTTTGGGTGGGCTAACTGGCTTTTTTTATTGTTTGCTTCTATTAACTCTTGAATTTATTGCTGCAATATTGTTGTAGGTTAAAAAATGCCAATAAAAAAAAAGATAAGCAAAGAAGAAGCTAAATTAAAAAAGCAAGAATATGACCGAAAGCGCAGGGAAAAAATGAAAGCTGATCCTGTAACACTTGAAATACTTCGCGAAAAAGAAAGAATTAAATACCTAAAAAAAAAGAAAAAGGTCAAGTAAAACCTACATCCGCAATGAGTTCCCGAGAAAGAAGGCAAAAAAGGAAAAACTGGAAAAAAAATAGCCAAACATATAGAGACAAAACAGTGAAAGTGCGAAAAAATTTAGCAAGACTGTTAGATGAGTCACCACCTCCTAGCCCAGGATCTATGCAAAATAATAATGAATTAAGAAATCTGGCAGTTGATCGGAGAAGGCAGCAACTCAGAAGACGTAGAGGAATACTTTATGCAAAAATATCCAGATTACAGGAAAGTCTGAAACAAGAAATAAGAAGAAAAGAGAGATACCGTAAGAGATGTCAAAGACAAAACAAAAATGATCAGACTTCACCGGAAGCTAAAGTATCAGCTCTCTTAAAGAACGTCCAAGTTCCTAAAATTGTGAAGAAGAAGCTTCTTCTATCAGAAGTTATTACTAAACAGCTAAAAGACAGGTACAGTAATTTAAAGAAACATAGTGAAAATAAAAAGTACTATGAAATAGTAAAACCCGATCTTTTGAAGAAGCATAAACTACTTAGCTTATCAAAACAGTTTTTCAAACATGATTGTTACAAAAAGAGCGTTTCTAGGAAAGTCAGTGCTAAATTAATGAAGGTCAAAAAGGATGTTCAAGATTTTTTTGAAAAGGACGAAAGTTCTCGGATGTGCCCAGGAAAGAAAGATTTTGTAAATTTAAAGGGGCAGGTAAAACAAAAACGTTTACTGTGCGATACCATGAAAAATTTGCACAATAAATTCCTGACTACAGTTGAGTATAAAATAAGCTTGACAACTTTCTGCAGATTTCGGCCTTTTTGGGTGACTTGGGCAAACATAAAAGACCGTAACACATGCAAATGTGTAATCCACGCAAATTTTCAACGGATGATCATGAAGTTACATGAAAATAAAGTATTGCCTTGCTGTAATCTAACTAAATTTTTGACCATGAAAACATGCAATGTTTATTCAACTAAATGTCTTTTACGAGAATGTGGAGGTTGTGCAAATAAAATGGTAGAGTATTATCTTCCACAGCCAAACAGAATAGTGACTTATGAACAGTGGATGTACGAAACTGTATCCTACGAAAAAAATGGAAAGATGAAGACAGTAAGAAAACCTATTTTAAAAGCGATCAAGGTTTCACTGAGATCATTGGTACTTCAGTTAGAAAATACTTTGCCTTTATTTTTTAAACACGTTGCCACGATAGCACACCAGTATCAGACCATATCAGAACTTAAAAAGACTTTAGCTGACAATGAAGTCCTTATTCACATAGATTTCAGCGAAAACTATTGTTGCAAATATAACGAAGAGATTCAGGCAGTACATTTCGGAGGTGCAAGACAACAAGTTACTCTACATACAGGAGTATTATATTTACGTGAAAAAGACACAGTAAAACCCTACACGTTTTGTTCTCTTTCTGAAAATAATAGACACGATACAATGGCAGTATGGGCACACTTATTACCAGTTTTTGAGTGGCTTAAAAATCACAATCCAAACATTCACAGAATACACATGCTAAGTGATAGTCCTGTCAACCAGTACAAGAACAAGTTCATGTTTCATCTAGTATATCATCATATAAATGATTTGTATCCGGGTGCGACATTTTTTGCGTGGAATTATTCAGAACCAGGCCATGGCAAAGGTGCTCCTGATGGCGTAGGTGGCACATTAAAAAGAACAGCTGATAAAGCGGTGGCTGAAGGCAAGAACATCGTAAATTTGAAAACTCTCAAAGAAATTTTGTTGGCAAGATGTTCTTCAATAAAGCTATTTAAAGTTACCACTGCTAATATCGCGAAGATAGAAGACTTAGTCAAACAGTCAACCGTCATTGCTGCATTTCGTGGAACCCAGAAAATTCGTCAATTTGTCTTCAGTAATGATGTCTTGGAATTTAGAAGTTTTTCATGTTGTAAATGCGCAGAAAAGTGTAAACATTTTGACATGGGATATTACAAATCTTCAAAACGTTGCATTGAAAAACCAAAGTCCTTTGAATTAAAAACACGAAACAAATCTTATGATGATGGACATTCGTCAAATGATATTATTTGTACGGACAGTAATATCACTTATAATATTGGTGATTATGTACTTATCAAATGGGACGAAAATGTTTACCCAGGGGAAATAATATCAGTTTCTGAGGAAGGCGCTTTAGTAAAGTGTATGAAAAGAGGAACTAAATCTTGGAAATGGCCTAAAATCAGAGATGAACAGTTATATGCCTGGCATGACGTTCTGAAGAAAATTGAGCCTCCAAAATTAATCAGAAAGGGTTGTTATTTTATAAAAGACTTCAACTAGTTTAAAATATCTGATTAGGACTTTAATTGTAACTTTGAGACTGAATCGTTTAAGATTATAATTTTAAAATACTTAAAAAGGAAGTATTTTTTGTTTGGAAAAAGCCAGTTAAGTTATAGATTTTGTTTTGTTGATTTTAATACTAAACATTCATTTTATCTGTGAGACTAAAGTTTAAAATAAGAAGTTTTTCTGTTGTTAAAAATGCTGTTAGATGAATCTTTAAGTTAGCAAGGATTTTGTTGTCATTGTTATTTAATTAAGTGCCATAATAAATAAAAATAAGTTTAAATTAGAGTTATGCCAAAGTGCTGCAAAAATTTTGTGATTTGCTGGAATTACTCTTACTTATTGTTTAAGAACACAATTTCATTTAATAAAAAGATTTCATTGAAAGAAAACTAATTTCATTTAAAAAGCTTCATGACTTGTCTACAATAATCATTCCCTCACCTTAATTGTCATTCCCTCACTTTGATTTATTTTAATGTTCTCATAACTTTCATAAAACGCGGTAAGTTTTGGGACCACTACATAATTTAATTCTAGTAACATTAGTACTATCAAATTCACATAAAATAACTATCAAATAATTTCAATATTTTGTGTCATTTTAAGATAGCCGAATTTCGGGATTTCGTGAAAATTACCCAATTATCATCTGTCGAGTGCTCGGGACTTGGAACTGTCGTGCTTGCGTGGAGATTTCATTGATAATTTCGACACTCAGCAAACTGTTATCGTCATCAACAGCTTTTAATAGTCCACTGCTGAACATAGGCCGTTCCTCAGAAAGGAGGTTTTGGCCTACTATACCACGCTGGCCAGACGGGTTGATATAGGGTTTGTTCCAAGGTTTCCTTCTCTTTGCAGTGTTGTTGTCCTGCGCAGTTTGCTGCCTTAGTCGGCTCATGCGACACCCGCGGGACACTATAATCCACTTCTTAATCCGTGACCACACGGAGATATCTGTCAATAGTTAGTATTCTCATTATTTTTCTCTTTTATGTATTTAAAGGCATTCATAATGGAACTGCAAATGATACTAGGAGGAAAAAGTATAGAAGTTGACTATCACAACTACGCAATGGGTGCATTTATGCTGTACACATCTGCTATGGATGTATTATTTAAAATCATCCAGATAACAGGATTTATGCACAAATAAGCTATATAAAATGCCATTGACAAATAAAGTAGTAAGTATTAGTAATATTCTACATATATTTTTTTTAGCGAATGTCACGAACCGAGGATTGTGACATTATGAATACAGTTAAATATTTAAAGATTTAATCAAAATGTATTATTAATATAAAGATTGTGCAAAAATGGCTATAAAGGCTAAGCTTTTGGTTCATTCTCAATGTGGACCTGTAATGGCACAGGTAAAAGTTTAAACATTTAGGTACATTACATGTTTAAACGAATAAATTAATTGAGTTGTGGAGAAACTGATCACCAGACGGTCACTAGATGTTTATATCCTATTTAGGTACATTACATGTTTAAACGAATAAATTAATTGAGTTGTGGAGAAACTGATCACCAGACGGTCACTAGATGTTTATATCCTATTTAGGTACATTACATGTTTAAACGAATAAATTAATTGAGTTGTGGAGAAACTGATCACCAGACGGTCACTAGATGTTTATATCCTATTTAGGTACATTACATGTTTAAACGAATAAATTAATTGAGTTGAGGAGAAACTGATCACCAGACGGTCACTAGATGTTTATATCCTATTTACATTAATATCCTAGTAATAGTATTGGTAAAATATAATTTATCTCTTAAAATAGTTACCTAGTCTGTTGGTGTTATGCGCAGTCTCTGCTGGATCTTTGTTTTAAATAATCAAGCCTACATTGCCGCGTTGCTGTACAAATTAACTTTTTGGATCATAAGCTGAGTGGTCTTAAAAGGTCTGGTCTTGATAGTTCTTCTGAGTTCATTATACATAGATCGTAGACCAATTATTTAACTTATATTTAAATTAAAATTTTCTATAACTTTTTTTATTTTACAGGAATTTGATCACAAGTTCCACAAAGCAGTAAACAATGATTATACTGCTTCTGGATCCACTTATTGTTATTTCCGAGACTAATAAGAGAAGAAAGAAGATTGATGTAGAAAATCAAAAGAAGTAGAGATGATCAAAAGAAGATGTAGTAGATAAAAATAAGGAAAAAAAAATATCTTATGGCACTAAATTATATTATTAGTTTTATTTGTTACATCGTACCTTTTATGAAAGCCTTGGGTACTTAAAATAAAATAAGGTATAACTTGTTATTTGTATACCATGCTCGGTTATTTTCTAGCACGAGCCCCAAGTACTTCGTGAAAGAGTTGATTTGGCAAGTCAAAATTTAATTTTAAGGACTCAGTCCCTTTGACGCCCTCAGTCCCTTAAACAAAAACTGTTTTTAGCCATTTACAGAGCCACTGATTTCTTAACGTTTTAATGTCTACTCAGTGTAATAGAATAATAAAACTGTCCATGTGACATTGTTGAACACCACTGAAAATACAAGTCGCAAGCAATTTTGCGTAAATTATCGTAAAATGGATGCCAGCAAGTTTATGTCTTTCATCTTATTCTCCTTGAAGTATAAAATCCGCAAATATCTTTTGTCCTTTATCCGTTTCATTACACGAATGATTAAACATACTGCAATATTTAACCAAGAAAATAGGAGACATTATTATGCCTCCTATTTTCTTGATGAATCTTTATGATTATAAAGATTCATCTTTATTAACGTAAAAGTTAACCAGACTGAAGGTACGTACGTTCGTGAAGGTACGGTTGTGATGTACATCAAAAAGGTTACATCACTACCATCATCATTACTTACTTTACTAAAGGTTTGGAAGACTTTAATTATTCATTAATTTTAATTATTTTGAATAAGACATATTTGGACCTACCTTCAAATGATCTAATCCATAAAAGTTATGAGCTTTTCTGCTTTATTCAAATCGATTTAAAATAGTCAAGCTATACTATAAAACGTCTTAGGGAAGTACTAAAAATACAATTTTTTTAAGATTTTATTCTACCTCTTTGCTGGCTTTGTTAATATATTTATTAGATCAATGCAATAAAAAAAAGTAAAATATTAACCCTTTCCGTGGTTCCGTAGTCCGAACAAGGGACCGATGTAGTTTCGCATTATCCATCTGTTGGTTCATCACAACACAGAGGTTAAATAAAATTTAAAAAATGTAAGTAGAGTGGGTAGGTACTCTACATATTTTTTTTAGATGTATTTAACTTATTTGTAAAATAATTATAAACACGTAATAATGTTCGTACAATATTTTTCAACAATAATTATATTACAGATAAATTTATATTAATAACAAATAAATTGGTATTCTCTAAAGAGCGTGGTTAGCTCTTGTGTATGTAGTTCGTAAAAATAAGTTCAATTTTCGAGCATAGAGAAAAATGTAAATGTAAGTAAACAGTTCGGCTAATCTTATTGCAGCTACTACTAGCTGTTTGCAGTTTCGTATGAGTGACGTAAAGAAATACACAAGCAGCAAGCAATGAAGCAACATGGAAGGAGGTTCGATTCCCACTCAGGACAAATAAATGGTATAGTCTCGTAACAGGGGGAAGGGTATATTTAGAAAGACACGCAGGTCTGTCTAATTTGGAATCAGGTGAGATAAAATTATTTCCAGTTAAAATAAACATATTATTTCTTGTTTGTGTAAATTGCTCTCATATTCGTATAATTAAGTTATTAATTAAATTAAATAAATTAAGTAAAATTCTATTCCGACATTTATTTAAGCTTTAATTATAAGAAATAAGTAATTAAAAGCAATTACGGCATTACTTAATTTAAACGAAATATGTGCCGTGGTTTCATAATGCAATTTTTCTGAAGACTCATGTTCACGCATCATTAAATTTAAATGAATTTATAAACGTTTAGAAGCTTTAAACTCCGCCACTGAAGAGGAGAGTTAAATACGGAGAACAGTTTAGCAGCTTATAGAATTACGTATATTAATACTATATGTATTACGTACGTATATTACGTACATTAGTACAATAAATAATTTATGGCATAATAAATTTCTCCGCCTGGAACAAAAACCACTGGTAATCCAGACCCGAACCAAGCATACTTATACCACAGTCACATAACACACTATAATGTAGGTAAATTTAGTAATTAACAAAGAGCTATCGGTATATTTTGCTATACTGCAAATGCAAAAAAAGAACTGAACTACTGGATTAAATCACTTTTTTAGCACGACACGAAAGCGCGCACACACACACTCACATGCTCAGCTACACGCACATGCACAAGCATACGCACATCCACACGCACATACACACACAAAAAGGGGGTTCGTAACACAAATTTTTTATATGTAAACTTATAATTATAAATAAATGAAATAAATAAATATTTTTACTAATCGAGTTCAAAATTAAGTCAGACTTTTAACATTTAATAAAAGGTTAGTACAGCCAGTTATATCGTCCGTATTATCTTAGTTATCTAATGTTGCTGTTAAATATAAAAACAAAAGGGGCCCGATATAAGGAAAAGATCCCTATTTGTTCTGTTAATAGAGGGTAGACTCTACTATTATTGCTTTTATCTGTGTGAAATACCTATGTTTTTGCAGTGAGATGTTTCGATATAGGTACCTAACTGTATCTGCAATAATCAGAATGAAACTGAAGCGAGGTTATCTAAGCACATAGGCATTAGCCTAGTTCACTCATAATTTATGCCTATAGTTGCATTCGCATGTAGTCTAAAAATATATATACCTATAATAAAAAATCTAGTTTCAAACTAAGCAGAGCTTGTACTGTGAAAGCTAGATTGACTGATAGAATACTTATATACTGTTTTTTGTAAATACATATTTATTATACATAGAAAACACCCAAACTCCGAAACAAATATTTGGAAATCATGCAAACATTTGGTCTGACCCGGGAATCGAACCCAAGACCTCAGCACAGGAGTCGTATACGCTACCAACTGCTCGCCGAGGCACAAAAAAAAATATGCATATAAATATGTGTGTGTAAATAAACTCAGCTAGATGTTTTAGTAGTAAATACTGTAAAGCCCGAGTGGAATATTTATTTAAATGAACTCACGTAGCGCAAGTAATGACGAGATACATTTATTATTGAAAGACTTGAAAGAGTGTGATTTAATGGATCAAAAGAAATAAATTGAGAAAATGTGATAGAAAACGTGTTGTAATATAAAGTGAGCTATGTTATATAGTTGTTTATCGCAATATACATTTGTGCGTTCAACTTGTCTGCGATAGAAAACTGAAGGTTAAAATGACTTTCATTCAAATAATGATTCAGCAGCATTTTTGAAAATAAAGTTGAGGTTTTTTCGTGGTTGGCAATTAAAAGTGCCACCTTCGCATCGATCACTATTAGAGTTACAAAATAACGTCTTAATTAATATTGATAAGATAGATGCCCTCATATTAATGTATCTAATTAACAAAATAAGTGAAAAAGTTGCACCTCAAACTACTTAAATGGTGTGGGTGACACATTGATTGGGATATATTTTATAAGAAGTTCTGAGTCTGGGTGTCTGGTTTTATGTCCGTTTTGTACACAGACAAAACGGACATAAAACCAGACCCACACTCAGAACAACAATTTGAGGATCACACATAGTGTCGTCCCAAGTGGAGATCGAACCCACAAAACTTAGCGTAGTAGTAAGCGGCGTGGCCGCTTAAACTACTACGCTAAGTGTAGTTTTAAGTAAGTGTAAGTAAGTGTAGTTTTGTGCAGTTCGTATTACTGTTAATTAACTTAAAGGATAAAAAAGTCAATAAAAAGTCTGTCTGCAACACATCCTAGTGAAGGCAAAACGGACGGTGACGTATTAGGAATACGGAGTGTCACAAACTACGAAGGACAGTAGCACTGCTAAGAGAAGAAAAACTTGAAATAAACCTGACACCAACCCGTCTGGCCAGCATGGCATAGCACCCCAAAACCTCCTTTCTAAGGAGAGGCCTATGTCCAGCAGTGGATATTAAAGGCTGTTAATGACGATGATGCCTAAGAATAGCAAAATTCTACTAAAAATTATAAGAATAGCTTGACTCAAAGTACACTGAACCTGTTCTGTAATAACTAGTCTGCTGATAAACATACTTATATGTGTCTAAAAAGGTACATATTATACTTTAATTACACCCAGACATAGAACAAATGATTGTGCTCATCACACAATAATTTACAGGTGGGTTACCTCTAGCTAAGAAAACAAACCACTAGACTATGAGGCCAGATAAATTTTAAATAGTACGTATAGGAGATATGTACTTAATAAAAAGAAATTTAAGTTTAGTAAAAAAAGGAAAGTTGGGTTAATTTTTTTAATCTTAGTCCGTCTGTAGTTAAGATTTATACTTGTTGGAGTGTATTACGGTACGCGACTGCAGTTCATGAGGCCTTAGGTTCGATTCCCGGACCGGGCAATATTTTATGGGGTTTTTCTGAGAGGAAAATAGCCTAAGTTACTCCTTAAACGGCATAAAACCCATGTACTGGCAAATTACCGTTTAATTGAAATGATTCTAGTATTTATGAGGAGGTAAAAATGCAATAACAGCTTAGCATAATAGCATGTGCAATATGCGACACCATACTCTACGTCGTAGAAATACATATATACGTCTAGTACTAATGCCCTATCCTAATAGCTTGAATGAAATGTATATATTATGTATCTTGTTTAATGCTTCCTTCATTTTATTATATGTGGCAAATGTCACATTTTGTTTTAAAATTTAAAAGGATTTCTCTGTGTTCCTCAGGCCTCAGGCGCCCTACTCTGGGGAGGACCCGGACTATGTGGATTCAGCTCCTGCCCGGATTGACGCCGTACTTTTCTAGGCCCTATCTGAGGAAAGGCAGAGTTTTCCCCCCCCCACCTATCACTAAGTTTGGGCCCGATCGCACTTTCATGCAATTAGGCCGCCCACATGTCCTTTACCGCAGTAATCAATCTACCACCAGAGGTCCCCCACTCTCTGGTGGGCCGCGACACAAAAAGTTCTTGTTTTACTTTT